TGGGGTCCAGATGCCGCTCAGTATCACACAGGTCAGCATCCAAGGTGCTTTGGAAGCAAGTGGTTAATAATTTTTTTAAAAGAAACAAGGCCAAGCAATGCCGGACCTGTGACAGAAAAATAGGAAGCCGGCAGCAAGCTTTCACTTGCTAAACTTTAATGTGGGTCACGGCGACCCAGGCAGCAATCTAACACACGCTCGAGGGAGGGAGTGGAGAGTTCCCAACCCTTCTATTCCACGGCAGCTCTCAGATGCACACTGCAGCGTGCAAGCGTAACATCAGGAACAGGGAGCCTCTTTCCTGGGACTGAAATGCTAGCAGCCATTACAGCAATGCGGAAACACGTCATGGGGAGGAAGAGAGGTTCAAGGGGCTGTTGGGCAGGTCCAGGCAAGCTAAAAGAGTCTGCAGGCTAGAATCTCTTACAGGTGGGCCATCCAGAAGCCAGGCCCTGAAACTGTCCTATCTTGATTTCTAGGAACCCGGCACTCCCCAGGAAGTAGCTATCCTAGTCCTTCCAGCAACTCAGACCCTGTAAGTCCATCCTCTGGGACTTTCTGGGGACCTAGCACCTCGAAGCTGCTGCCCCTGAAGTTTCCGAAAACGAAGCTCCTCTATGCACCTGCTCCTGGAACTTCCAGGAAACCGGCCTCCACGGCTGGCATTCCCAGGCCTTCCCAAAATGCAACCTCTGCCGGCTGCTGCTGCAGGACCCTCCAGGAACCTATGGTGATGGCGTGGGGCTGCCCAGCCCCGTCTTAACGGATCCCTGCCCCTTCCTCTCATAAGCAGCTGCTGTATGTTGAATCAGATGTTTGGTCCCATCTGCCTAGAAGGGCTCCTTAGGGCCCTCTCCAAATACCAGGAGTCCATCTAACTGGAGGTGCTGAGATGTGACCTTGGGGTGTTCTGTCTTGGACTTGCTGTTCCACCACTAAGCTGTAGTTCCTCTCCTAGTATCTTTATTCTCTTTCAAGGTTTCATTTTCACTTGCTGGCCCACAGTTGCTGCCTGTCACACAGCCCTTTCTGCTGCAAGCAGTCCAAATTCATAGGAAAGCCCATATACATCACTCAAGCTGAAGGGGAGAAAAAAAAATCTTATTCTTTCTCTTTCCCAGCTGCCATTCAAGACCATGGTCTTCTCAAATGATTCTGCAATTTCTGCTATTTTGTTTTGGCTTTCGTAGCTGTGGGAGGGACAGCAGCAACTTGTAAACATCTGATTCAGGCTTTGAAATTTCAGCTGGCATTGCCTGCATGCTTTCAAGCATGTATTTGCTATCATATGGACTAGAAACCTCCTTTAGGTGGAAAAAAAATAAAGAAGTAAAGACAGCAAGCTGAGATTTTCAGGAAACTAAATTCTGCACCTGCAACCCATTCTATGGGGTTTTTTTCCCCTACACTTCTTTGCAATCTACGCTCATAGCTGGAATAATTTTCTGGGTTTTAATACCGCACAGTTCAGATGCTTTATTTATCCGAGGGTAGAAGAAATGCCTGCCTTCAGCAGTTAATCCCTCTCATAGTTAACAGAGCTTGTTAAAAGGCAAAAAACACCAAAAACTGCTCTTGATCTCTTGAATAAATACGCTCCAACTACTTTGTGTCTGTTAAATATTTAGAAGCCAGGGGGATATTGTTGATAAAAAGAATAACATCTACTTCAGGGTGTCGGGTAGCCAAAATGCAAGCATACATAAGAATCACTAGGCCTGCCATCCTACCCGCACGCCCCTCCAAATTAAGAAGAAATGATGCTTTCAAAAATGTTGTTGCAGCTGCTGTTGCATGCATGAAGTTTGCTTTTGGCAGTGTGTGTGTGTGGGGGGGGGCAGGTAGGGTGCGGGAGTTTATTATATTCAAATGTGAACATCAGCTTGGATGCTCATGGTATTGCCTTCCAGCAGGCCTGACCTGCATGTGGAGAGGAAATGTACAGTGGGCATCGGCGATCCAAATTCAAAGCATGTCCCCGGTTTCATCGCAAAGCTCTCTGCAGCCTGAGAAGCGCCAGCCCCTCGCTACAGCCCCGCTCACTGGCTCCAGGCCAGAGGGAGGCTCAGCTTCTGACACTGAGATGGGAACTGCAGAATTGGGCCCACCATGGCAGACCCGGCCTCCCACTCCCTAGTGAACAAGATGGGGAGCAGGCGGCAGAGGCGGAGGCGGCCCCTTCCCCACAGATGGGAGCCTTGACCTTCAGGGAGGCTGCTGGGCGCCAGCTGGGACATCACTCCCTGGAGAGAGGCCAGCAGAAGGCGGGGGGGTGTTTCCTGGGTGCTGTTTTGGTCCAGAAAAGCCCAGGGAGCTGCGGGAAGCATTGCCAGGGTCCGCTGCCCAAAGCACATCCTTAGCAGCCCCTCACCTGCGAGCCCCTGTGGCCTCCAATCACACTCGGAGGAGCCTGCTGCATTCGGAGGGGCTGCCGACTCTCTGGAGTCTGCAAGCTGACTGGCATTGAAGCAGGGATACAGTGACGCCTCGCCCGAGAGCCCCCATCTCGATCCAAATAAAAAGTTGTTTGCACTGAAGAACCAAGCCGGCGACGGCAGCGTGGCAAGACAGTGTCGCCTGGCCCTCGCTGACAGCTGGTGGGAGCAAAGCACCCACCCAGCATCACCAGCAGTGGCACCGAGGGGCAGCGGAAAACAGGCTGCCCTTCGGCCAAGCAAAGGTGGCCATGCCAACAGCTTACCCTGGAAGCTCATGGCCCTGGCGGCCAAAGCCAAGGTGCAGCATGCCGTGGTATCACAGGTAGCAGCGGCACGGACAGTGGGCTGCCGATCTCTCCAGTGAGACTTCTCCAGCCAGGAGATATTCTCCAGCTGTTTGAAGGCCGACTCCCTGTGCCACGAGGGTGGGAGGAAGGGTCCCACACAACTGAAAGCAGCAAGCTGAGTAAGGCTGCTTCAGTGAGAGTCTTCCAGGAGAAGACTTCCTTTTTATTGGGGTGCCCCTGGGAGCTGATCTCCCGGGAAGGCACGGAACCCCCTCAAAGTGTGTGGAATGGTGCCACAGAACATTCCGGGTTCTCTGCCATGATCAACCAAGCACCTGTCCCCGTTCACCTGCCGCCTTGCTCAGAAACATCACCCAGCCGTGTGTCTCCGGTCAGAACCTCATCACTGCGGTTTGGAGGCCAGCGTGCATCCTGCCCCCCGGCCTCTCTCGGCAGCCAGGTTCGCAGCCAAGCGAGAATGTTAGCAATTTTCAAAATTGCTCTACAAAATTCTCCTCTGAGAGACAGGCGGCAATCACACAGCTCCTCGGTGTCAGCTCACATGATGCAACACGGGGTACAATTACATTTTGTTGGCAGCCACCGGGAAGCCTGATAAAATGCCGTTAACAAGGCACTCCATCGTTGCTTAATAACTTGCCAACCCACAGTTTGCTGTATTAACCCCCGTGACCTTCATTTCCATCTGAAACCCGCCAAGCCGTTTTGCAAAATCTTACTGTAAACATCATTATACAAGTTGGATAGTTCCGAAGCTGCTTCCCCCGCGATGCGGGGGAGACTCATTCCATCCATTCTGCCGTTCCACCAGACCCTTGACGGCATTCGTCAATGACACTCAGAATGCATTGTGATTACAGCGGTGCATTAGAATGGCGCTAAAGAGAGCGACACAGACCCTAATTTGGTGGCTGCGGTCAAGATATGCAATTCTACAGGGATGACTAACATCATCTGACTGGAAATTGGCAGCCTCGCCGTAGGACTGCAACTTGCCAGGACGCATTTCAGGAAGCATGAGTTTACACCAAAGGCTTCGGAATTGCTTACATGCTTGCCCAGCCAGAAGTGTTAACACCTAGACAATCACGTGCATCATAAATTCAGGCTCAGAGAGGTCACTATATACCGAAAGCACTGCATCAAGAACTAGCTAGATTACAGAACAGCTTCACAGAAGCACAACCAGCTCACAGATCTAAACAGATCCAGCATTTCAAAGGGTAGTGGGATGCAGTGGACCCCAGTGCCTCCCCTAGACATATATACTGAGTCACATCTCTTCGATTCTCTCCCATAAGGCTTTGCAGCACATGCAAATTGAGCAACAATGTGGGTGGGTCCACTTGGATGGGAGAGATTTTCTCTGTCCTTCCCACTCCTGTTATCCTGCAGATGCATTGGACTACAATTCCTATCAACTCCAGTCTGATGGTTCAACATCTGCATGACACCATGTTGGGAAAAAATGATCTATACCATCACCCCAATCCACACCACCTTATGAAACACACTGCAGAAGCATGAAGCAGCAGCACCAAGGGAAAGCAACTCACAGACGGCTGCAAGAGTGTGACGAAGCAGAGCTAATATCCAGCTCATGGTAACTTCTCCCTTTCCAAGCTTGGAAAGCAGCAGAAGAAGCCGAGAACGTCAAAACAAGCACTTCAGCTGAAATGCACACAGAGCCGATAGACGCTTCCAGCGCTCAACAGACAGTGGGACATTCAAAAGCATGAACCATGCTGCCTGGAAGGCCCATCTCCCTTCCAGGCCCTTAAGAGAAAGACACAGCGACGGATGCGCCAACAGCCTCTGGATCTAGAATGGGACTGCAGTGCTAGCCCAGCCTGGGCTGCGCATGCTGAAGGACCAGTACGCAGCCCACCTTCTGCCCCCATTCCCCCTCTTGGAGAATGTGTTTATCACTCATATATCTTGTAGTCAGAGATGGAGGTGTGTAAGGTTTCGGGTGAACATTGCCACGCCTCATCTTCTCAGATCAGGCTCTCATTAAGGCTGCTTTCACCCCAGTCCTCCTCATAAGCAGGGGAGCAAGCGCCCTTGATCAGTTTCTTGTGACATCCGAATAACCTCCATGTTGCTCATCCACCACAAAGTCGCGATTTGCTAACACTGAACTCAGTCTGGGCGAGGTATCACCTTCAGTCCCTGAAGTTAGCAGACCACCCCTTGGTGTTCTGGAAAAGGAGTAAGAAGGGTTTTCCTTTTTTAAAAATCCAGTAGTACTTACCACGAGATTTCCAATCACCATGACCAGCAAGAAGACCAGAAGACACAGAGGCTGGCCAACCACTTTCATGCAGTCCCACATGGTTTCTATCCATTCGCCACACAGGATGCGAAAGATGATGAGGAAAGAGTGGAAGAAGTCTTTCATGTGCCAGCGGGGCAGCTGTCCTGTGGTGCTGATTTTGTTCACGTTCTTGCAGTACATGTCCCCAAACAGCTGCATCCCAACCACAGCAAAAATGAAGACGATGATTGCTAAAACAAGGGTGAGGTTTCCCAGAGCACCCACAGAGTTTCCAATGATTTTAATGAGCGTGTTTAATGTCGGCCACGACTTTGCAAGCTTGAAGACCCTCAGCTGCAAAATAAGCCAGGAAAATACAACTCAGTTATCGCAGTGGATCCAAACGGCAGACAATCTTGCTACTGGAAAAGGGAAACCAAACAGCTGCATGCAAAGCGCCTCTGGGACAGAGAGGGTGAGGCTCTTGTCTGCTCGATCCAGACCTAGGCTGGTGTTCCTTCCCATGGCAGTTGAGCCAAAAGGCAAGAGCTGAACGTGCTTGGTCTTGGTCTGCAGCTCAAATCTTGTGGCACTTTGCGTATTGATTCTGGAGGCTGCCGCTGGCCCAAACCACCCAAAGCACAATCCTGTTTGGCTGCCCCAAACCTTCCAAGCCTGAAGGGTTTCAAGCATCCAGTCAAGCATGGGAGGAGAGCAGCGGTGGGACCATCTCCAGGCCCTCACAAGGGATTTTGGCTTTCTGCATCCCTTGTGTAGAGGGATGTGGCAGAAGCTGGTGCTGCTTCCTCTTCCCCTCTCTGCCACCCCACACGGTGCCTGTCCCGAAGACAGACTTCCACCAGAAGGCAAAGACCCTTCCCTGACCTTGAAGGCTTTTCTGCGCTCACGGTGGCACCTCCAAAGGTTGAGCCCCAGGTGCCCCAGCTGCCTCCTCCATGCCCCAAATGCACCTCAGAGTGGAGAACGGGGGCGTGCCGGGGGCGGGCGGGAATTATGCCGATTGCTGCGGGAGATCAGGCTCTTTCCCTCCCCTCCCCAACCCAGAGGGCACAAGGCATGGCTGCCGTGAATGCCCCCGCCCTTTGGGCACAGGGTGCACGCAGGCCTCCCGGGCTTGCCGGCAGCTCTGCACCAAGTACGGGGGCAGGTCGGACCGCGCTCTGGCTGCTTCTCAGCCGTTCTGCCCTACAATGGCTCCTGCTGCTCAGTGCGACTGGCATCCCCCTCCTATCCACTCAGGACCCACAGGCTCATTGGCACATGCCCTGCAGCCCAGCTGTGGGCACTGCAGCTCTGAGGTCCTGTGCCATCCTCTCTGTCACCTCAGTCTTGTGACATGGGCAAAATCCTGTGGGGCTATCGCAGCCCATCAGCTGCAGCAGCAAACGAGGACAAGGACTGGAAGCGCAAAGCGGGAGGTGGAAAATGACACTGAAGAAAAGAGCATCAAGGCAATATAGATGTGTTCACGACAATGCAGCCTAAAATAGCCTAAAACGGGAAGGATGGGACAACAGATGCAAACATGGCCACCAAAGTCAGCGTTCATTAGCTTAGTCCTGGCTAGCAGCACTTTTCATCTCAGATCTCTTACTTCAAATGTTCTTAATATAGAAAAGAGAAATTGGTCATTTGCGGAAAAAAACGAATGTAGTCAATTGCTGTTTCCTCGTGCAGTTTACAAAGGGGGAAAACTGAAACTATATGTGAGTCACTCGTGAAAGTGTGTGACGTGATGCCTGAATCTAGGAAATGTGTGGCTTGCAAGCGGCCTTTTTCATTCGTGCAAAGCATCAGAGAACTCATCAGTCTTCCACTGGAGAGCACGCATGCGTGAACAGACCAGCAGTCTTTGCATTTCTTGTGATCTGAAATGCTTTCCTTGGAAACTAATGCAAAGGTGGTGCATTGTGTGTGAAAGAGGGAGGGACGGAGGGGAGACGGGAGAAAACAAACAAGCAAAACTTTACCAGTCTGAAGGAGCGTAACACGGACACATTTCCCATGCTGGAAAGACCTAGTTCCATCAAGCTTAGAGTGACAATTATGCTATCAAAAATATTCCAGCCTTGCTGAAAATAGTAGTAGGGATCCAGAGCTATGAGTTTGAAGACCATTTCAGTTGTAAAAATCCCAGTGAAGATCTGTGGAAAGCAACAAGATATTAATCAGTAGGGAGGATTGTCCTGCCACGGCTCATGAGAACACACTGACCCAGGGCTGGCTGCAGTTGCTGGTGACTGTGCACTCCTGGACAAACCAGGGTTTCACTGGTGTATCACGTGCAAGAAGATCCCTTGAGAGCTGATGTGTGAGAGTCCTTTCTGGCCTCAGTTGGTTTGAGGTGGAAAGGAACTGAATTATCACCCTAACGCCCTTTAAATATTGCAGTCTATTTTGGAACCATCCAAACTTAGCCTTTCCCTCTCCCCATGAACCCCAAACTGACTCTCATCCTGTATCAAACCAGCTCCCTCCTCCCTTCTTTATACACCCCGCTTACCTGGCTGACATAGCTGGTGGCGATGCTCCAGAGACAACAGGTGACTGCAGAGGAGGAGGCAAGGAAGTCCCTTCCTCCTCTTTCTGATATCTGATGCAATGGATAGAAGCATGTGGGGCAGAAACCCTTTCTTTTGGGCTGCTGAGTTTTCCCAAGGTTACCACAATGTCTGTAGTCCCTGGGAAAGGTACACTTCCCAAGGACATGTCTCACGGCCTTCTTCATGCAAAGCACATGCTCTCCCAGTGAACCTTGGTGCATGGAGAAGCCTCCCTCCCCACCCCTCTGCAATTGAAGGTGGTACAGTCTGCTCCACCCCCTCAACACTCCATCCCCTCATTTGCCCCTCATTAGGCTATGCCTTAAATGGCTTTTACAAATGAGTGGCCCAACCATTCTCAAACCTCAGCCCTCACATGTCATTGGATCAGAAACCCCATTGAATCCAGACCTCATGGCCAACAGTCAGGGATAATGGGAGTCGTGGCGCACTCATAGAAAGCAACCCATGGTCATGGGTCCTGATAGATCAAAGGAATGGCCATGAGTAGGATTCTGCAGAGCGTACACAGGTGCCAAATAACAGGGCAAGACCATTGTGTCATGCTCTGTTTCTGGTCACCCACGGCCATCGGGCTGTCCACTGTCGGAAGCAAATGGCTGGGTGGGTGGGACCTTGGTCCGGGCCATCCTGGCCATTCTTTCCCTGGCCATTCCTTTGCATTCTGCTCAAATGTACTGCGGGTTGAGAGGAGTCTGCTTACCAGGTTTCCAACGTTGAGCACTTCCTCAAACTCTTTTGTCATCTTGTAATGATCCATGGCCATGAAGAGGGTGTTCAACACAATGCAGAGGGTGATTGTCAGGTCGCTGAAGGGATCCATGATGATGAATTTGACCTTCTCCTTGATCAGCAGCCACAGCGGGCAGCAATCCCAGATGAGGAACCGGACCGCAAAATGATTCCAGCAGGGTGGGCACTTCTGTTGCGATTCCTCAAGCTCTAAGTAAGAAGGAGCAAGCACAGATGGGCAGGTCAGACAATGCAGGGGAGAAAGGAAGCCGCTCCATCCACGACTCTTTTACATTGCTCTTTTCTTCTTCAGCAAAGAGGCCCTGTTTTCAGGCACATGGGTCAGTGGTAACCACCAGGTCACATATAGAAGTAGGTAAGAATTTTTCTTGTTGAATTTACCCAAATTCACCAATAATGTCAAACGCTGGAGAGAAAGAACCTGAGAGCTTTATTTATCTACAAAAATTGACCAATCCATCCATCCAGGCAGAGGACTTTGGGTGCTAAGCTCTGAAAAGTCTGGGTTTGACTCTCCGTATATTCAAACATATTTGTGGGGAAGAATTAGGGCTGCTGTCTCGTTTTTTGGAGAGGTTTCCCATCTCCTTCATCCCACACTGCGGCGTAACTGGCACACCCCCAGTGGCATTCTGTACTGTAATTTAAACACAATCAGTCCTACCAACTCACCCTTCCAGGACACTGTCACAGAGTACCTAGTCTAAAATACCTCCACATTTCCGCCCCGTCCTTTAACACTTCTTTTTCTATAAACCAAAACATGCCCAGGGCAGAAAAGTATCCCAGCATCTCTGTAGGAATAGTTGTTTGGGGTTCTTTTATATCCCAAACAATAGGCCCAAACAAAGGAAGAAGAGAAGAACATCTTGGTCTGTTTTAAAAGCCAAGAATCTTAGCTAAACCCTTAAGCAAATTGAATTAAAAGAGAGTGAAGGAAAGCTTTGCTATGAGTTTTTGTACAATCTGAAGGCCAAACAACTTATGCAGAGAGAAGGTCAATGGACTATGTAGAATTATGCAGCTTTTGTTTTGTATAGTTTACAAAGCAACGAACTCTAAATTACCTGTACTTGCTAATAGCTAAAAGCGATTCTTACGTTGATTAAAATCTCCTGAAGGAAAATTCCAGCCAGCACAAAGGCAGCATTTTTGAGGAACTATTCCCTGGGATAAAAAATGACCCCAAATGGGAGTAATGATGGAGTTTTGTGAGGCAGGATGGTCCTCTCTGTTCTGGATAATAGCTCCACCTACTGCCTTTGGCCAGTGTGGGTATGTGAGAACATTTAATACCTGTGTTTTTGTATGGAACTTTGCCTGGGTTTTTTCCCAAGTGATTGCCCTAAGGTAAAGCAGTCTCATTGTCACATATACACATTTTGTCCGAACTTTTACCAATGTACACCCTTTTGGATGCATTTAAAAAATGGAGAACTCCATTGCAAAGTTTAAGTAAATGTGAATTTCAAAGGATAACTGAGGTTCAGCATACGTTAAAAGTGTGGAATTGGGTAGATAGATACTCAAATGAAAACCAAACAAATTTCTCTCCGCACGTCTAATTGCACCTGTGTACCTCTACTGTTCCCGGAGACCTGAGAGAATGGGTAGAGCTCAGCAACGTGCAATGCAGAAGAAGCTGGCTCCAGACCCCAGAATCTAGGAAGCAGGGGAGGAGAAGCGTCCCGGCCTGCAACACTGGAAAGCAAGATGGGCAAACAGGGACACGGTTCACATGTGCTTCCGCAGCGCACCGATTTAAGCGAAAGTGGGATTCAAGCTTACACCGATGGTGCGGCTTCTTCCCGCTTGGCCAACCTTGGCACTGCAGGGTGACTTCAGAGATTACTGCGTCAGCTCCATGTCTGTTCCTTACTAGCTTCAGCATCTGAAACCCATGCCAGTTGCGACAGTCTTTGTGAAAGGTGACCCATGCAGAAACCCTTGGGTTGCTGCCATCTTCTTCATGACTGACACAGAATTAAGATTTCTCTTCTTTCTCTCCTTTATTTTCAGTTCTGAACACAGCAAGGTCAGGAAGGATAACGTTGATAAAATCCTGGAGCCTAAAACTATTTGAGGCCAGAATGACTTTTTTCAGACCAGATCGACCCAGGAGGCAGAGTGCTATGGAGGTAATAGACAGTATCATGTCGAATTATAAGCTGGGCAGATAGTGGAGGGGTTTCTTTAAGGGGGCAAATTTGTTTAGCCAGAATTGAGCAGGAAAGGATGGAGGAGATTGGCAAAAAGTAAAACAAAAACAAGAAAACCCTAAAGAGCTAAAGAAGATACTTCTGATACATGATATAAAAAGAGAAGGGGCACCATCCTATGCCAATTTAGACGGAAAGAAGTCCTTGAACGCCCAGCTCTGGCCAGCAAGTATGGCAAGCCAGGGAATGCTGAGAACTAAAGACCTTTTTCTGTCTAAACATGCACCCTAATTAAAGAAATATTTTTTCTTCTCCCTTCCTTATTTATTTACTAATTGTACTTCTGTATCACTCCATCAAAAGTGGTCTACAAAATACAGGTGAAACTGTAACATAGAAAAGCAAAGAAGAAAACAGGTATACCATGTGAAGCAGATTACAACACCCACCGCATAAAACCAGAATAAAAGCCACAGAGGATAAGCATCAGTGCAAACATCTCAATGATAAAAATAAGCACTGTTGTTTATTCCATTATTTAACATATTGTTATATGCAAGATTAATATCAACAGCCCAGGAGAAGAGAGAAGTCTTCACCTGCTGCCCAAAAGATCACAGCATAGGTGCCAAGTGAACCTCTCCAAACATTCATCCACTAAAAATTCCCCCTCCCTAGCAGCCACCTGTAGCACCTCTTTCTCAGGGGGGAAGGCTCACCTGGGGAAGGTCTTGGGAGAATGACTGCATGGTCTGGGTAAGTCTCTAGGAGACCTAAGGCTCTGGCTTGATGCTGAGAAAGACCTTTGGCCAAACTGCATGGGGCAACCCTGATGCAGGAAATGACCACATCCAGGTTGCAACCTTGCGCACACTTACCGGGGGGGGGGGGTAAGTGGGGCTTGCTTCTGAGTAGACAGTGTCAAACACTGGCAGAAGCCCAGCCAAATTCCAACAGCGCTGTGGATTTGAGGAGCTTAGAACTAGCCAGAGAGGGGTTACCATCCAAAGCTGTGTTCTTTGAAGAAAGCAAGAGATAAAAATTTCCAAGGCAGGAGGAGAGCACCCTCTTTCTGAAAGAGAGCTGAACAACTCTCCCCTGGAAGGCCTCCCTGGCAGATGCACTACCTCTCAGCCGGCCGTGGCGGGAGGAAGGTCCAGGTGGCTACCGTTCCGTGTGGTGCCTAGAGAGTGCAGGTGGACTTGAAAGCAATGGCGTACCTTCCATGGCACTGGTGAGGATGCTGACGGCACTCACGGCTCTCTGCCTTTGGAAATGCTCCTCGGACTGATCCACTGAGAGTCGCTGGGGGGACAACAGCTGCTTCTTGTTCACATCTTCGGAGGGTGAAGTCTGTCCCGGGAAACATAGTCAGTCAGTAAAACACACCAATGCACCCAACACAGCCCTTGTCAAGGTGACGCCTTCCAGATGGGCTGCTTACAAGCCCCACCATCTCCAGACAGTGGGCAAGGGGTGATGCGAATTATATTCCAGACTATCTGGAAGTCACGAGGGTGATGAAGGCTGCTGATGGGAAGTCTCCCTTCAGCCCTCTGAACTCCGGCGTTGACAGTCAAGCCAGCTTACAGATTTTTGCCTCAAAGGCAGGCGTTGATTGGCACATTTTTTAAAAGCTAAAGACTCGGGAAATTAGCACAAATTGCTCAATTTGTACAAATCATACAGAAAACTGTGCTGTGCTGGTACAATTTGCACAGATTGCACTAGATTGATATGTGTGGCAGCTTTCCACGTGCAAAAATGGCATGCTTTGTGCACTTTACCTTAGTAGCTTAAAAATGCACAAATTGTGGTCCACCTTAAAGAAGCAACTCCGTGGCCTCCACCCCCCAACTCAACCTGCTTCACGATCACTGGATCAGAAACAGACAGGAAAGAAGCAGAAGCGGAAACAGTACTAAGTCTGGATGCCAGATCTTTGGAAGAAAAAAGACGCCTGCATCGTCCAGAAATCCAGAGTATAAGAAAGAGAAGAGGCTCCGTCAGTCCTTTAGTCTACAATCCAACACACTGCTCTGGGAGCGTGTCCTGCTGGAGCCTGTGGGGCTTGGTTCGAAGCACTCATAAGATATAAGATCCAATATAAGATCAGGAAAAGGTACAAGGAACATGGCAGCCCCTTATGATCCAAAATGCAGTCGGTAAGGAACAGCTCACGACAAAGCCTAGCTGAACCCTGGCACTGAATTAAACAAGTTCCTTCCCGTGCCTCTTAATAAGAAAAATCTGCCTGAGATGTTTCCCGAGTGTTGCACACATGGTCAAACGCCTCTCAACGAGGAGGACATTCCAAGTTAGACTCAAATTTCACTCTAGACAAAATGGTGGGGAAGGGGAAACGTGGCAAAATGTACAAACCTATGCATCTTTAGGTAGAAAATGGCTTACAACTCCCAGCATGCCCCAGCCACCTGGTTGGGGCATGCTGGGAGTTCCAGGCTACATTTCTGTTTAAACATGCAAAAGATTGTGTTCTTGGGCTTGGAATGACATTCCTGATTCTCCATGTGCATGTGTGTGTTCAAATTATAAAACGGGATAGAGAAACTATTTAAATCACTCGTGCTGAAGGATGATCTGACTCTGAGCAGAAGGGTGGATCCAGCCAACCAGGTGTTTAAGATCTCTGGGCAAAATTTGACCTCCACATTCAGCCTCCCCTCCTTTGTGGGAATGTTTTGGTAGCCTTCCAAGACTCAGCCAGGCATGGAACACTGAAGAAGCAAAGAAGTCCAGCAACATTCGCTCGCTGAGGAAAATGTGTGCTCAGCGAGCGAGTGTTTGTGTTCTACTAATTCCACAGAAAGCCGGAGTCCACATTCGGCCATCTGCATAATTGTTGCTCCGGTTCCTCATTTTTCACTTCAGACCCAGAAAAGTACAAAGCAGGGAGATGCCCAAGAACTGAAGGACATGTAGAAAGAAGGAGGATGAGGAACTCCTCGCCTCCCGGGCAGCCTTGCCACCTTCCCTGGGCCCCACACCCTGACCATGGGATTTGGACAGTTTTCTCCATCAAGGCTTGCTTAGGGACACCAAGAGCAATAAGCTAAAGTATATTGGTTATCTGGGGTATTTTGGGCCTTACAGACCCCAGTGGAATGTGAACCTCAAGATGTTCCCATCAGGCTGAAAAAGGCTCCACTCCCCTGCAATAAGGCAATGACAAAACCGAATCAGCCATGGATACACTTGCCCCAGATCCATAGCATGAGAAAGCAGTTGTAGGAACTGGACCACCATCCTCCTTCAACACCCGTTGTGCTACCTGCTACTATTGAGTGCACTTTTAATCAGCTCCATCTCCTCTGCAAATTCAGGAAGTGCTGAATGCAAGATCTACAGCACTGATGGTTATATAATGCACAAGACCCCCAGTACAAGATTTTATATGGACAGAAACATCACACTCTAAGTACCATAACAGGTCCTACCATACTGGTTCCTTACTCCTCCTCTCACATTGATACATTTTCTTGATCTGTTCTTAGTAATATCATAGCTTGGCCAGGTTGACTAGCAAAACGGAGCTCCTCTGCACAGAACCCATGATGAACGATATGGCAACATTCACCACTTTCCCTCTTCCCAGTGGTAGCATAGCTCTGTGTCCGATGTTACGGGGGCAATCATAAGAACACGAGATGCTGGATCAGGCCAAAGGTCCATCTAGTCAGTGACTACTAGTCCTGATAGCCATCTTCTGCTTTCGGTATTGCTAGCAATATGCCTATGTATCCCAGTTTTTGGGGGACATGAGCAGGATGGTTCTTGTGGGCAACTGGCTGGCCACAGGGTAAACAGAATTCTGAATGAGATGGACCTTAGGACTGTTCCAGATCAGCTCTTTCATCTCCTTATGATTCATTCCTGTCTTGGAAGTATCTTCATTGCAAAATATTATGCAGGTCAGGGAAAATAAAGAACCATAAGAAGAAAGACGAGTGCAGCTGAACTTGTCTTCAATGGTCAGTGCATGGACAGAAGACCGAGCAGCCCAACACAAAGGTTGTAATCTTCTCACTCTGGTGAGCTGCATTGTATTTCTGCTTAAATTATGGGAGCAAGGGTTCCTAAATTTGCAGTTACATGTGTAAATTAGCTGTAGAACATTCCATACAAATCCTTCCCATTTTCCTTCTTTCTTGGTGGTACATTTCCTCTCTTCTGCAATGGGTAAGTGGTCACATAAGCCAGTGGGGACCATTCGCAATGGCTTGATGCTGCCTAACCACCTGGTGGCCGCCATTCCAACCATAATTCCATCCTGCCCCAGGCAGCAGGGCCAATGGACATGGATGCTGGGAGCTGTAGTCCAAAATATCTGGGGGAGTCACCAGGTTGGGAAAGGCTGTTATGTAAGTTTGCAAAAAGATATGGACCCTGGGAGGGAGGGACACTCCAGAATATGACATTCCAGCAGTGAAGCTTAAGGAGGGAGGCAGCAAGAATTCAGCCCCCACCCCCATTTACCCCACTGCTAAGCAGGCAGGATGGAGGGGGGAGACCCAAATTTCTCCAGACATGGTTTCTCTGAGCTCTCTCACATAAAGCCCCATTTTTTCCAGCAATTCTCTGAGAAAGCTCCAAAAGCCCCAAAGTCATTACACACCAAGCCTGGGAGAAGTTGTCCTTCCTGACAGCAGCTTTAATCTACCGTGTACACCAAGGACCTTTTGAATCATGCAAGATGATTCAACCCGGCTGCAACGTGAAGAAGAGACCTCGTCCAATGCAGGCACCGCCATCTGGCCTCAAACAGGGCAGCCCTGTATTGCGGCTCCGCCTCACCTTGAAGGTCGTTCAGCCTGGCATTTGGGGAACCCCCTAGGAAAAGGCTCTGGCCTTCTCCTGTGGCCTGCACTCACTCCGCAGCTCCTCGTGCTGCAGTTGCATTGACTGTTTGCTGCATGGCAACCCAATCCCAGTGCTTGCTTAACTTCGCCCGCTGGGTGGAGAATGTCTGCATCAGCCTAGCAGGACACCCATCGCCAGTACAAAGCAAAAGATGATACCGCACAGATGGACTAAGAAGCCTGCACAGATATTTTACAAGTGCTTCCTGGGAGGCAAGCAGGGAATGCTCTTGAGAAATGTCAAAGCCCTGATCAAAAAACAGTCTTTGAACAAATGGCCCTGATACTTGGAAGTTGCCTTCAGAAACATCTGGAAAGGACCAGTTTGGAAAAAGCTAGTGTCATCCAAGATGGGGTGGTGGTGTTAGGTTCCAAGGGGCATCAGGATATGACAAGGAGCTTAGCCAGGTGAGGTCTTCACTGAGGCAAGCTGCTCACACTAAGAAACAAGTTCATTGGTTAGGGGTCCTTCAAGCGCTTTGGGCCAGAAACTTCTACCAGTCACAAGCAGCATGGCCAATGATCAGACAGTTCCATCTGTCAAGCCAGATGTGGTCACCGGAAAACTGGTGGCCCAGGAGGTAGAAGGCAAAGTTCTGGAGTCTTGATCATCCTAGTCTGAGATACAGCCCTCAAAAGACACACCAACACACCAGCGCTTAACATGCAGCTTGTCCAACCATAGAGCAGAAGGGCCAACTCAGTCTCCCGACGCAAAAGCAAGGCCTTCTGCCCACAGAAGATGACCCACTCCGTCTATAAATGGGACACAAAAGCATGAATCGGGAACTGCAGCATGCAAAGCAAAGTGAAAACCAAGACCTCCGTCCAACCTAGCATCCTCTAGAAATGTTGGACTGTTGCAGACAACACGACTGCGGGAGCTGGTGAATTACTGGACTGCAGTCCAGCATAATTGGAAGGCACTGGGCTGTGGAGGCTGCATAAGGCCACCCATGATATATCTGATGAACAGAACTTCAGAAAGCAATACCCTTCTTCCACTGCAAATGTGTTTGCCTTTGAGCTGACCTGAGACTCTTTGTTGTTTTTCCTGCAGTGAACTAACACGGCCATTCCCCTGCAAGCTGTCATGGATGGGTGCGAGTTAGCTCAAGTCACACAGCTTTTGTTCCATGTATGATCAGGATGATGGAGCTTCCCTGCAGTGCATGCCAAACATTTGCATTTGTCCAGTTTGGCAGACCTGAGACCTGTGTTTTCCAGCCTCGACGTCCATTCATGTCTTCAAACAACATAGACATCAACAGGTGTGACAATGACAGAAATACAACTGTGGCCCACAAGTTTTAATTCTTACAAAACTTGTTCCTGGCAGAGAAGGCAATCAGCCCTGATGTAATGAAGGACTGCTGACTCTTAATTGTGCAATGGCTCCAGACTGATCTCCACAATAAATAGTCTGAATGGGCACAGCACATCGAAGCAGATGTTGATTCAAAGAGGAGCCGA